AAGAAGAGTAAGGCCAGCAGAGTGAGGGAGGTTCTCCTCCCCCTCCACTCTGCACTAGTGAGACCCCATCTGGAGTACTGCATCCAGTTCTGGGCTCCCCAGTTCAAGAAAGATGAGGAACTACTAGAAAGAGTCCAGAGGAGGGCTACAAAAATGATTATGGGACTGGAGCATCTCTCCTCTGGGGGATATCTGAGAGAACTGGGCTTGTTTAGCCTGGACAAGGCTGAGAGGGGATCTTTTAAACACTTCTAAATATTTTAAGAATGTGTGTCAAGAGGATGGGGCCAAACTCTTTTCAGTGGTGCCCAGCAACAGGACAAGCGGCAACAGGCACAAACTGAAGCATAGGAAGTTCTGTCTGAATACGAGGAAGAACTTCTTCACTCTGAGGGTGACAGAGCCCTGGAACAGGCTGCCCAGAGAGGCTGCAGAGTCTCCTTCTCTGGAGATATTCAAGACCTGGCTGGACAAGGTCCTGTGCAGCCTGCTGTAGGGGGGGGCAGGGCGGCAGGAACTCACTCGAGGCTCGGGAGCGCGTAGCGCTGGTCCGATCCGGGAGAGCGGCTCTCTGGGTTGTGCGGTTCGTGTTGTACATTCTCCTTATCTGTACCGTTGTCGTTACTGTTCCCTTTGTTTGCTGTTCTGTTAAACTGCCCTTATCCCAACCCACCAGTTTCTGCCTGTTTCTTTCCATTCTCCTCCGCACCCCGGCAGGGAGAGGGGCGGCCGCGTGGCGCTTTTGTTGCAGGCTGCAGTCAAACTGTAACAGATGCCCAAATGTCCCTTCCAACCCCAACCATTCTGTGATTCTGTATTCTAGAAGTACCTACCATGACAGAATCCTAGGATGTAATAAAGGTTTCTACATACTTTAAAGAAGCAAAATACGAAGAATAATCCAGGATGTTCCCACACAATAGAGTTCCTACTGATGGAGTTTAGTAATTTAGACTTGGGGTTAGCTAGTTTATGTTAAAAGTGAGGACACAGTGTCTTGTGCTCACTAGATCTCATTTTATTTAATTTAAAAGAACTCAAGCAATTTCCCCTCCCTCAGCACATAATGTAGATCACGGCTGAGGAGGATCTAAAGTAATACTACAGCTGCTTAGCTCTTTCCTTGCACTAAGTTCTGCATTCATTTCTGCTCTAGTCTGTATTTCTATTTTATAATGAAACACACAGCCTAGTTATTTATAGGCTTTCTAAGGATTAACTACACACTCATAAGAATAAACCCTCAAGAGGTTAACCTCATCCTCTTAAGCTTCACACACTACAATCCCAGAGATAGCTGGCAACCACAGCCAAGAGAAAAAATAATCCCACATCTTGCTAATCCTTTAGCCAATCACTTCATGCAACAGTGGAGAGGTGCCTCAGAGGCCTACAACTCAATCTGTCTCAAGAGTACTGTCAATCCAAAAGATACGTATTTCACAGAACCATTAACAACCCACCTTAAAAGGCAAAATAAGGCATACCTGGCTACTCAGTGGTGCACTGAAATTGTGCATCTAAAATGCAATGCTAAGAAGATTCCAGTTTGCTGCTTGTATTTACCTTTCAGATATTTGCATATTCTACTCAAAACTAGTTTATTAAGGTAAAAGTAAATCTAATAAATTTTGCATTGTTTACATCTATACAGACCAATTTAACTGTCCCTTAAACTTTCTGGCATGAACTTTGAGTACCTGTGATTTTCCAGCCAGATCTCATCTCTCAAAAACACCAAAACAACCCTTCAAGTTAAAACATGATAGTCTACCCAATTCATTCATATCATTATCTGGATTCTCTCTTAACCCCAAACGTGGACACTGCCTGCAGTTGCAGCACTGCCAAGGAGTTAACAGGTGCACTTATCTGAAGTACAAGGTTTCTGTTTGTTTATTATTTATCTAGCAAAGCTGCTACTTCATTCAACTCTTATAATAAATTTTAAATGGCACCATTTAAAAGAAACTGGTGAGGAGGCTGTTTAGCCACACTGCTACCCCATGGCTGGAAGTCAAACTTTTCAAGAACATGCAGGAAAAGTATAATGCCAGAGGTATGACTGTTAATAACCAATTATCATCCACAGTCCTTTCCTGAAGTAAGAATTTTTAATCAACACAGAGGATTAGCACTGCTTACAAGCTCACTGAGTCCAACGATACTACTTTTTTTTTAAAATGTGTCCATTCATTCTTTTGTACATGCTTAATACACACCTATTCTAAAGCCTGGCTTTTGTCTTTGTAGGTAAATTCTCTGGAAAATCTCAGTCCCATGAGACTACAAGTCCCTATCCTCACACTCTGTCCTCTTAACAGGCTTCCACTTTTCCACCCAGAAATAAAAAAAGTCTAAAATAAAGGTAGTTCGAAATCACCTTGCATTTCAAAGTTGTTCCCAGTAATTCTAGGCTTTGTTCCCTTCCAGAAATCACATATGGCCCAGCAGCAATAGGAACTGCCTTAACTCAGGCAAGCCAATAGGTAACCTTAATCATCTAAAAAAAGCAGATTTTAGCTAAGCAAGAGGCACTATGCAAGTGAACATCAGCTAGGAAAACTAAACTTCCCTCCTATCCTCAAAATTTATTGTGCATAAGTATCCTCAGTAGCACGACACCACAGGCTACTCGATTGCATCTTCCACTGTTACAGACTGCTCCAGCCTATCTGCATTCTGAAAAGAAGCTTCATGATCTTTCATGCTCATAATAGATGTCTAAACCGTTAAATCACTATTTCTTTTCTTATCTTGAAAGACACTGCACTTTAACAGCACGGCCCTTCCATTGTTCTTTACACTAAGTTGGGTCCCTGAACAATACTGACAGCTGCTATCAAACTGGGCCATGCCCACTCCCGGTGCAGCTGCCGCTTGTAGGAACAGACAGGCTTCTGATGTGTCCTCCCCTCTGGGGAGAGGGCTTGACACGCTGTGTGCTCAGTGAGGGGGAGCAAAGGTCCACTGAATTGTCAACTCAATTTTATGCTATTCAGGTTTTCCAGGATGCACACCATCCCTTTCAAACAAAATCAAGCATATGTCAGAGCATGAAACTTATTATGCAGCACAAGGTAATTACTGATCATGTAAGACTGCAAAAGACCACTCCGACATACATCTAATTTTAGCATTACGTATACGCAAGCATCTACATGGTCAAAGAAACCCTGTGCCAAACGTGTTCATTTTCTCATTCACAGTTTTGGATTTGTATGGCATCATTCAGAAGCCTTTCAGAAGACACAGCAAAGTATCTCTTCCAGCGAATCTTAGAAAATTTAAAAACTGAGAAGGTAGAGGCTTCTATTCCTGCTTCCAAAGAGCTTTCCTCTACAAAAAATTTCTTAACTGCATGTGGTACTTGCAGATCCTATGGCTTTAAATGACTATATTCTGCAGACTTTCAAAAGACGTACGTGACATGCTTCAGATAGCAAAATTTGTTTTGGCTAAGAACGTTTCAAAATATTTTTTAATACTTATTCCCATGTACAGTATAAAATATTCTTTAACACTAGTTCATTAAAAAGGGCTTTCCATTCTGTTTTCATCCCAAAGTAGTAATTCATTTTAAAAGATGCAAAAGTACAGTTCTCTAATCTTTGCTAATCAAATACCACAAATGTACACGTGCTGTATTTCAGGATCAGATCAGGTATTCATAAAGTAATTCATTACACAAGCAAAGCATAGAGGAGATTGTGACAAATAGAGATGTAATTGTGTGGGTTTCTAGCATGTTATTAGCAAATCAACTAAGTAACAGCCAAAATTTGATATGAAAGGAAAAAAACAGCGCAGATTTGAAGGGGGGGTATGTTTATGCAAAGCTGATCTGTCAAGTGTAATAAAGCAGCTTGAATAAAATTTAAGCTGAAAATCCACTGAAGCTCCCCATTTCAGGGAGGAAAAGCTATTAAAAGGAAATGAAGGTCACCCTCCCAGTTTATTTCACCTAATTGACTGCCAATAGCTTACCACAGGCAAACCAACTGCAGATCTGCAATTGAGAAACTGATGAAAGGAGAGTTTTCAAGCTGAGGCTCATTCTTTTAATCCTCCCTCGCTCCTTTTTTTTCCTATCTCCAGTTGGGATGTAATTTTAAGCACAGATGGATTAACTGGTTCCATTGTCTGTAGACGTCATTGGACTATGGCACTGTTAATCCGTACAGCAGCATGTCTAATTATCATTACAAAGTGTCTGAGGGAACTGTAAAGACCAGCAGGGCATCTTCTCACAAGCAATTAACATAAATTGATAAATGAGTAATTTGAATCTGCTCAAGGCGCTCACATATGAATAAAATCAGAAAGGACAGGTTCTTGTTTCGGCTACTTCTTTTACTTAGTCTGGAAGGGCAGAAAACATGAGAAATATTCTAGACTTAGTGGCAGGGGAAATGAACTCATGCAGTGGAAGGAATGTACAGTTCAGAAAGTTCATTAATACAAAGCAAATGACTTGTGATTGACAACCAGTCACAGGCAAGTAGTATTAACTTATTTCAGCATATTTAGAAGCACAGACTTGGTGAAAGGCTATTAGAACACTGTGTCAGACAATTAATACTACTTCAAAAGCAAGTGAAGTTTCTTTTCAGTAGCTTGCTAATTTAAAATTCATGAAAGATTCACAAAAAAAGGGACAGAAAGAAGAATGAATAGTTGTACAGGCTCCAAGAACTCAAGTGTCACAAAAAGCATGAGGCAAAGGTAACTAGATCAACTGATATACAATACCTACAAATAAACAAGCAACTCTTCTAATCACTATATTTCTTGCAGGAAAAGTTTTGTTACACCCAGCACTGCTGCACAAAATGATGCTCTGACAAAGTAAACTATAAACTTTATCCCTGCTAAAATCTGTGTAAAGCAAGGCAAACACTTCAGCAACACCAGGCATCAAAACAGCATTACAATATCATAACATTAAGCTTATTTTAAAAATAGCAAAGCAGTAAGATATGAAAGCAAGTTATACACACTGTAGGAGGTAGACCTGGAAGGCCACGTACCCCGATGATGGCATTCAGTTCAGCCATGGTCACTTGTTTGGCACGTTCTACAGCTTGGGCCACTTGCTGCTGATGCTATTAAAAGAAGAAGGGTATGGGGAGGAATTTGTGTTAAGGCATTGACCACACCAAATCAAACCAGGACCACAAGCATCTGAGTAACTGGTTTGTCTGCAGAAGCCCAGGCTACCTACTGCAAGACATCATACACAAGTAAAAGGTAACAGTGCCCTATTTCTCACCTGTTCAAAAGCAAACAAGAACCCTGAAGGCAGCCAGCTCACCTCTTGCCCCGTGCCACTTCAGTATTAGTTCTCTGGCAAATGAATAATCAGTTTCTAATTGAGTTGACAGGATGACAACGTCAACTTCACACCAGTGTCTATTTTAACATTTATATACTCTGTGCCCACACAGAAAACCTACTGAAATTTCAAACAGGGAAGAGTGCTTCACTGAACTCAACACAAATTAGAAACACTCTTTGTAAATTGTAGAGTTTGAAAAGGCATATCCAAAATAGCAGGCTTCAAAATGTAACAGCAGCTGCCCACCATACACTACAATTGCAGTCATTCAGACCAGATGCAGGTTTGTAAACTTGAACAATGCTTTGCATCTGAACTAACTACTCACCTTTTACGCTAAAATTGATACAAATTATGTAGACAAGATAAGCATGCTTATTTCACTAGATTCACATTTGACAACCAAATATCAAGCAAGCAATCACCATTATTAGAAAGGAAAGCACTTGGTTGCATTGATAGTATCTTACAGACTCCCACTCTCCTCAGGCAATGAATGAGGCTGAGCCATTGTCACTAGTTTGAACTCAGATTTGTTAGACCAAATTAGCAGGGGGTTTGCACACTTCAGCTATAACAGATGTTCCTTACACTCGTGTATTGTGATAAAATTTACATCTTAAAACTAGCTAATTTGCAAACAGGAAAGCAACATAATTGCACTTTAACAGCTGAACAGTTTTACTTACTTCCTGAGACAAAAATGGGATGACTTGTGCACAAATTGTATTCAATCTCTTGGCGATTTCTGTCTATAGAGGAAAAGTATTTTGATTAAAACTGTGTTTTAGGTTTGTTGCCATGTATTAACTAGTGTAAAGGACTATACTAAGTTCACACAGTGAAGAAAGTAAAAAAAACAAATCCACATCTTCATATTACTGCAAATATAAATAGTTAATATATAAGCCCAGATGAGGAAAAAGATTTAGTTAGCTACTCTAGGACATCTGTCATGTCTAAAGCACCTAATCCATGTACACATTTAGGCACAAATCTGGTCCTTGTACATAGCTCATTAACAAGTACAGCATTTTTGAAATCCATTAAGTCCAAGATAAAGCCTTTTAAAAGGTAGATTTATTATTACTCAAATTATCAAGCAGCATAACATGAAGGTGACAGGCATGGAAGAAAAATGTTTCTTTCATGATCAATTTTATCTGCCTATTAGAAGGTAAAATTAGTTTTGCTGACAGAAACACGCCATCAGGAGTACAAAAGAAATACCAAAACAGAAGCAAGGCAGAATGGAGACAAAAGGTACATACTTCCAAAACATCCATACCGAGAGAGTATTAAAATAATGAAGACAAGAAAAAGAATCTGATCAGAAAATGTGATAGTCAGTAACAGCAAATTAGTGAAACTGTGAGTAACAGGAGAACAATAAGGCTAGGAACCAGCAGAGAACAGAACAATCCTTCACTAAAAGTAGCAAAGACAGCAGGATGAAGTGTCCGAGTCCCACCTGTCGACAGCTTTATGTATCTCCCACTTTTATATCTTCCACTTCTGGCACATCAACTTGAACACAGCATTTCTGGTGGGATACTCAGTCTTACCTGTGCTTACAGCTTTTCAGACCTATACATCTGCCCACCACTCAGAACCACCATTATAATTAACCCTCAAGGTATTCGTCCAACTCCTACAGTTTTTCCTCAAAAACATCTCCTGCAGTCACTGTAGCACAGTTGCACAAAACCAAAATTAGCTTCCAGGTGCTAACTCATCCTACATATAAGACACTCTGAACAGCTCTTGTCAGTCTCTGTCATATCATTAATCCATATAGACACTTCTTGGGGTTTTTGTTTTATTTTAAGGTACAAGAAACAAAGAGAACCCTGCTGAGAATTATTAGGCCTTCCATGAAATGATATGCATAAACCTGATCATTTCAAAGAAGTCAGATGAAAACATGGCTGACTTCTCTGCCAAGCCTTTCCCTGAGCCTTCCCATCGTCCTGAGGTTTTTTTTACACAGACGCTGTGCTGTGCTTATCCTTACATCAGCTGAAGTCCTCCCTCCACCTGACCGACATCTGGCATTTGACACATCCATTCTAAAGTTTGTTGGAGACAAGAGCCTCTGAAGCATACATGGGACAGTTTCCTCCTACGACAAAAAGATTCCCCTTAAATAAAGGCAATGAAGTGACAGCTGCTTTACAGCAAACCTTTCTCCCCCTACAACAAGGGCAACAGATCTCTCTCCTCAGTAGGAACAGCCACCATTTCAGTACCACCGCAGTGTTTCTGTTTTGTCTGTGTCACAACCATAAAATATTCATCATTCTGTGTGTGTGGCCTTTAGTACTCGTACTACATACACACCAGCAGAGGCAATATAAGGAAGTTACCAGCTTTATTATCAGTCATCAAACTTAACTATTACCACTTCTGTTGGTACTTTCAGCGTACATTAACAAGGAAAAAATAAAAAAAAAAAAACACAACTGTGAGTGTCTATGTAATAAAAGACATTTTTCCACATACCTGGTATGTCTGCAGAAAGCAAGGTATGTCAGCTATGGAAAGAAAGTCTGTCACACAGTTTGGTTGCCTGATGTTTAGCTAAGATGTTTAGGGTCCAACAACTTAACTGCCCTAGACCAGTACAATTACCTTTGCGTTCAGGACAGACACAAGGATGAATCACAGCAAGTGAGAAGAGGGGAAAGAAAAAAGTAAAATAAGAAGCTCCTTTGGTTTCTCCTGAAGAGTTCTTTGGCCTATACAGCCTACACAAAAGTCTCCCTATTCTGTAATACTGATATAACCATCTTTCTTGTAGCTATAAGGAAAAAGCTTCTTTTTTCAACAGTCTATAAAACATGCAAGTTGTCCACATTATTGGGTTTTCCTGCACAGGTCCCAAAAATCTGAGCTTCACTGTAATAACACAGCACACAGAACAGCACACGGTAAACAAGAGAATGCTACATCATGTGATAATTATTAGTCCCAACACAGGTCAATTAGAGTTTTTAAAATTTTTATTTATTTTCTAAAAAGGCAGCATAATCAACTTTCCCCCTTTCCTCGTCAATCTTGCTTTATAATTGTCTGAGTACTATTACACCTTAGTATCAGAACTGAAAAAAATTATCCTTTTGAGTTTGTCTTTACCAAAGCAGGGCATCACTGATGATCTTACATGACCAGCATCCTTAACATTTATCCACAATGCTAGGTAAGCTCAATGTACACGACAAATAAGTTTGGTTTTGAGATTTGCTGCTGTTACAAGTGCTAGTTAAAAGATATTTACACTGAATGTAAACTGAAAAGGCTATTCTATACTTCATGACAAAAGTCTGGTTACATGTAAAAGGCAGTTTGCCTACTAGCACTATTTCTAACACAATTTCTCACACATAATTAAATAATAAAGTACTTCAAATTATTTATCCTCTATGAGATTTCACATATCTCCTGTTTGCTGCCCTCACGTGTTTCATAAAAGCCATTCTTATTCAAAAACATGTTAAAAGAATATTTCTGTTCCCTAGTGAGTTGCGAAAGTCAGGTTTTAATGCACCATTCACCTAATCTTGCCCGTTAGGAGTAGCAATAGGTTGTTTTCAGAATTGAGTAAAAGGAACTTTCATTACTTTAAATATAAATCTAGCTGTTCAAAAGGCAATGTACGTTCACTTTTCAAGGTGAAATATCTTTGAGTGTATACGCGCACGTGTGTATATATATCTATTCTTGAAAGCAAAAACCTTTTTTGAAGGGGTTTAGAAGAGCTTTGTTAATCAAGACTAGCCATCATTAATTGGTGGCATTAGAGTAAACTGTGTATTGCAGATTTGGGGCTCATGCATTTGAAAGTCTTAAAAGAAAGATACTTATCAGTTACTTCTAGAGGCTTCCCAATATAATGTAGCTATTATCTAACCCCTGATCTTGAGACATGTAGGTCAGTCAGAAGAATGAGTAAACAAAGAAAATTTTGCAGAAAGCTGCTCGAGCATAGACAAACATGACTAATTGCCCATGTTCTTTGGCTCCTTCGTAAAGCAGACTGTAGAAGCCTGCATCTCTCATGAAAGCCCTCCTAGCTCTATAGCAGCTCTTAGCAAAGCATCTGAAGTGCCCTTAATTGTTTGTGTTCTTAACACAGAGCCTCTTGAATACATTCATTTTTAATAGAGGACTTGAGTGTGGGGCCCATCAAAGAATGGCAAAACTACATCATTCACTGGTTCTTGCTGTTGTAATGATTGTCTTTTGATTTATTTGCAAATGACAAGCTTGTCAGACCCCTAACTGAAGTGCTACCCTCCTTTCTGAAGTATCATTAAAAATTAACATGAAGGAATTCAGCTGCATTTTGTAAAATTAAGTTGAGCCAACGGATTTTTTTTTCCCCTTCACTCATGAAATTTTTTTGCCTGTTCCATCTAGTTAAGGACTTAAATGTTTTGACCTAACCATTGCCAAACTCAAGTGTTCGTACTTAAGTTTGTCTCTTGTTAAAGTGAATTCTTAGCATAATAACAAAGAACCAAGAAGCCAGACTAGTTACTAAATATAATATTCATTTAACTAAGTCATTTTACTGAGCAGTTAAGAAAGAGTTTGTATATACAACTGTAATTTTTTTCCTTCTGCATTGTGAAAAAAGAATTGAAGTGTTCTCTTCTACAGTAGTCTATTCCAGATAATTTCGCATTTTGACAGACTGTACCTTCTGAAGCACCATGTAAAATATCATACTTATAGCAACATGATTTCTGAAACCACAGATTTTTGCACTAGAATGAAAAGGAAGTGTAACACATGTATCCAAACTCTAACTGTATTTCTTACCACACCTAACATCCATGTATATTTTAGCACTAATGCTGGAAGCCCTAGCCTACGAGAGCCACCACTCTCACTCCTGAGTCAAGAATGCAACCTTCCTCTGAGGAGAATTAATCACTTTTGAACTTCAGAGGTTTCAACAACAATAATTTGGGTTTTGCTCCAATCACTGCCTACCACACACATCCCAGGAGTGACTTTAGTTATAGCGTCCATGGTGCTACATCAAATATCAGTATTTGAAAGCACTCCATCACCGCTTCTCAAGGATGGGCTTATGCAGTCTTATTTATTACATTTTTATTTACTTTAGTTGTTTCAACATAATTTCTCATTAGACTGGGAAGAATAAAGCTTAGGAACAACACGATTAAAAGCAAGAAAACATGAAAAAAGCTGTGTCCTAATCCATTCTTTTAAAGCCAAAGACTCAGAGAATCAGCCTTTAATGCACATGAAAAGAATATACTGTCAAATCACATTCACAAAAGCTTTAGAAGGTAATTCTTAAGTACTCTGCCTCAACTCACACTTTCAACACAGAAAGCCAAGTACAACACTGAACTCCTTCTGGAAGAACAAAATGGACTTCCTGCCATTTACAGCATGTAACACAGTAATCCACTAGGGAGTAAAGGTCAATGTTGCACCTTTTGGTCATTACTGAATCATTTGAGATTATCTGTGGTGGGGATGAGAAGAAAATCGAAGGCTATGAGAATGCTGCAAATGGCTTGACCTCAGACCAATTTTCATCTCCATCTGCCTAACAGACATGTGGTTAAAAGCCCTTTTTATGGGACATCCTTGACCATTTTTAAGCCCTGCTGCAAGCCAGAAATCAGTTAAATACTACAATCCAAAAGTCCCTGGGTAAGAAACTGCATGTGTATGTTTAGTCTTGAGCTAAAGTTTCGTACCCGTTTAGTAT